TTGCCTGCTGTGTAGAATATCGTCACAACTTGTAAGGTTGCGGATATGCACTGGTTCAGGTGATAGGGATGGGAGAGCGGTCTTGTCATCCCTATGTGAAGGGTATTCCCTTAAAGAAATCCAGGGACTCAGCTGGTTTGGTCAACCCCCGAGAGGGGGTGGTGCCCGCGCCTGAATCCAGGGGGGCATCTGGGGGGTGAACATAGTCTGTTTCCAGCTTTCTGCTTATCCAGGTGTTCACCTTTGGCTGACCTGTGCTGGTGCCCTGTGTTAGCGCTGCCTGCAAGGGTGCAGGGAGCTAGTCGAACCAGAGTCTATTCAACTACTCACTCTTTGTAATCAATAAAGTTGTGGCCTAAATTCTGCCAAAAACCAAAACTAAAATTTGAGTCATGTGTGAATTTATTTAGGGGGGAGGTCTCAGGGTCTGAACACGCAATTTATTCCCCCATGCCGCTGCTCCGCATGGAGACTTTTAAGTGCATTAATTGAGGGACTGGTGCAAAGCTGGAACTGTTGCTCTGACGGCTAAGCTTAATTTGATTTTATTCATTTTTGTGGTTTGTTTTACCACTTTTTGTTGTATATTGTTAACTCTCCTCGATTAGTCTAAAACAAGGCAAGATATTAACAGCATTGGTAAATACGCTGATCACATTGCCACGCGATTATGGCACTGAGGGCCACTTAAACAAATAGGCAAACATTTTTGCAACAAGCAGTGGAAAATATTAAGGCATTGTCAGCACTGGCAACAGTGCTCACCATAGTTAGGGAATAGTTGCAGCTCAGCTTTAGCCCTAGGCCAGGCTCATGAACCAAAGTAGGGTTCAGGAAGCAATCCTGATATAATTTTCTCAACAAGGGAGGTATCAGTTAAAAGGAAGCTGAAAGAGAGAGTCCTCCTTCTTGGAGCTTAATAAATGCTGCTATAATAGGAGCACAGCTAAAATGTTTACCACAGATTGGGAAGTCTATCAACAACTCATCACAGTTCATGAGCCTAGTCCTGAAAGCTACAAAAGACAAGAAGGCTGCACTGTTTAAATAAGAAAAACAAGCAGCTTTAAAAAGTCAACACACATAAATGTGAGCAACCAGCAAGAGGTGAATAGGGGGAAGACTGTGTTTCTTGACAACAAAGTTAAGTGTTTTTAATTTTCTTGTACCCTCACACTTTTGTCCAAATCAATTTATGAGGAAGTCCTGTGATTATTGTGCAAAAAATCCACCATGAACAGCACCAATCCATGCTGACCAGAAACTTGATATGGTTATTTTTCAAAGGATGTTTGTGGTTTTGAGACACAGTCGACAAGGTATACTTTCAGCTATTGGAGTTTTGCTTCACTAGGCAATATGGAACAACTCAGGCTGTTTTATGTGAGCCTTTGTACTGATAACAAGAAGAGACTGGAACTTGTCCACTTTGCTTCTTCCCAATAAAAGCCAACATTTCTGAGGGCACTAAGGCCTTTTATTTTAAAAGTGATTTAAAAGAGAACTGAATTGGAAAATCTCTTATATGCAGGAACTTTTTGGCAGGAGCTGATGAGATTTTGGAAATCTGCTTCCGCTAGCCTTTTTCTCCAAAGGGTTGTTGCTATCACATACTGATTCCATTCCTGTTTACTTTGCTGGGGAGATATCTGGCTCCAAAGACTTTCATTGCAACCATCTTCATTTCTAATTATTGTGCTCCCAGAAATAACCAACTTTTGTAGATTATTTCTAATTCTAGTGACAAGTTGTGCTTTGAGCTGAGGGAGGACAATATTTAAAGGTTTTCCAGATGAATCTGTGAATATTTCCTTCACTAGAAAAAGAGAGAGAAACACATTTCCTTTGGTCCCCAGTTTATGTACCATGACAGCTGCATGGTAGCTGTTTCCCATGTTGCTGAAGGAGGTGAGAAGACTAGAAGATGTCATTATTATTTTTCTCCACCCAGTCACCACCCGTCTTTCACGTACCCCTCATGTAGCAGTATGGGGCGACCTTTTCCAATGGTGCAATCTCAAAGGTACACAGTAAGATTGGAATTATCTGAGGAAGATGTGTTGTGTAAAACTTTCCCATCCTATCCCATTTGGATAGGAAAAACTCAGGCAATCGGACCCAGCCACAGAGTTCTGATATTAACACACATACATGGTATGAGATAGTACGACAATATCTAATTTGGGCTCAAGCTGTAGCCCTGTTCAGGTGTTCTGCTAAATCATGTGATGGGGGGGGGGAACCTGTGGTTCCACAGAATTCTAAATCATATGAAGAGCCTCACTTCGGAAATCCCCCCTCCAAAGTGCGGGTATTGTGACAGAGGGGTAGAGCGAGTGGGCACCCCCCTTCTTCCTCTCAAATAGTTGGAATAAGGTCAATCTGAACACCCAAGCTGGGTTTCTATAAATAAGGGCACTCTGAACATCTGTACTGTATTGTGAAGAGGCATAGCGTAGGTTGCCAGCCCCTGGGGCTGCGAGGAAGGTGAGTGGGAGGGAGGAAAATGGATGGAGTACGTATGCACTTTCAACTGCCTAATGACATCCATGTCACCCAGAGCATGGTAGCCACAGAGATAAGAAAAGAAGAGTCGTTCCGTTGTCTGGAGAGGTCATTTCCTGGTTCGCATAGAGAAGCCCTTTTTAACTGAGCCCAGTGACGGAAGCATGGGGCTGTATTGAGGAAGCAGCAGGTGTTGAAATTTTGTGCCTCTAGTAATTTTGCACCCAGGGCAACTGCCCCTGTAGTGCCCCCCCCATGCTACGCCACTGGTGCTGTGCATGTGATCCAAGTAGGTTAAGAATCTAACAAATGTGAAGAGGGGGAGAAAGATCCCTTTTTGAGTCTTAGCTAACCAGAGGTGTGCGCTGTTTTCCCCCCTCCCTTAATGGGATTCCAAAGTGCTTTGGGAAGTATGTTTCCACTTAGAGCTAGTTAAGCAATGCAGAGATTTACAAGATGAGGCGCCGGCCCAAGCGTCTGAATGCTAAATGGTACTCGAGCCTTAATGTGTTGCTGCTTTCCCACCACCTGAAGCGTCATTTGAAAAATTTAGTATCAAAAACCGAAACAAAACAATAGAACGGGAAAAGAGGGTGGAGAACCTCAGTTCGCTTTTAAGCCATTTTCATGCCTTTGGAATGCATCAACCTCCATTGCCTTGTGAAATATCTGATATGACAAGATGTTCATTTTATGGTGTTCAAACGTGAACTCTCTTCAATAATGAATAAAAGCAGTCACTTTAAAAAAAAATGAAACCACACTGGAGTGTGAAGTCAATGTGGAAGTGAAGGAGAAAACCAGCACTTCTTTTGCCACATTTGTTTTGCCTTCCTCCTTAGTGAACAACCTTCAGCAGAACAAGTTAGGTCATGGTAGTAGATTGGTTTACATAGCCCATTCTTGACCTTTTATGTTGCATAGTATTGACCTTAAGAGGATCTTCAGCCTGCCTGAACAACACATGCTATAATATTGTTTGCCCAAGAGGGCCCCAAGAAAGGATCCTGCAGATCCAAGTATTTTTTGCCGATTAAGATGCTTGAGATTTAATTCATTACTCTTTTCTGCCACCTTACTTGAAAAAAATTAATATGAAACATGAAACTTTTGGAAGAATGGGAAGACAGTTGATTTGTAATTTGTGACCCTTTCTCACGTCTTGTAGGAAAAAGCTCGGTAGATTAAAATTACAGCAGAAACTCCTTTTGGGGAAGAAAAGCGTGTTATTACACACATATATTACATGTGGAAATCTTCAACGTCAGCTGACAGCACAATCCTATACTTCTCTGTTCAAGAGTAAGCCTTCAATGGGGTTACTTTCAAAACTGGAAGTAGTATATTTGATGCTTGTAGTCGCAGTGTGTGGGGGTTAAGAGTATGTGGGTGTGTGCATGGAATTCCCAATCAGAGATGAATCAGTGGGGTGATTCAGTGATCAGAGAGGGACACCCAATTTTTGGCACAGGAAGTTCCTTACAGCTCAGGGCGTTTTTGGATACCATGGACTTGTAGAAATCTCAGAGCTCCAAGCCACCTCCTACTCGGTGAAGAGAGATATGACTTCTAGAATATGTCTCCAGTCTCTATAGTTATAACCTGGGTTTATCAGAGTTTTCTTTCAAAAGAGAAACAAAACAACAACAACAACAATGGATGGGCAGTAGAGAAACATGATGCTGAATCCCAAAACTTGAACCATTGAGCAAACTTACACCTTGCCTTGTAAACTTTACAAGGTAAGATGAAAACCTTCATTCTCCACAGTTAAGAATAAACTGAATATACTCTTTTGTTTTTCAGGGTAATTTTTACTCTAGCATTAATTAACTGCTTTGGGAAGTTTGCTGCTTTACACCTGCATTTTAAATAGGCGTCAGTCTGTAAATCTTTGATTTTTATTTCAGTACCTTGAAAAGAATAATGATTACTATAATTATTCACAAAATCTTCCAGATGAAATAATCACAAGAGAGATATCTCTACGGCAGGTACATTGTCTCTCCAAAAGTTTATTCCTAAATGTTTGTTTTGCTAAGAGCTCTTTAAGAATCAGAATCAATTTCACCCTTCTGCGTGAAGAACGAGATCAGCCAATGGGATGTTTCTGTCTGAAAGGTTCTCATCTGGTCAGTGTCAAAGCTATGAGTCCATAATGAAAGGAGAGGCAGATGTTGGACCATCCTTGGAAGACCTATTCACCCACCACTGATTTATAGCTCAGTCCTACATTCTCCTCTGCATAGTCCCCTCCTGCTTCTAGATCATCCAACCAAGTGACAGAATATTGAAAACTAGCTATTTAAATACATATTGATAGTGGCTACAGCTAACACTGTAGAGGACACAAGAGCCTGCCCATTTCTTGCCACGTGCTTCATCCATAGAAACACAGGAAGCTGCCTAATTCTGAATCGGACCATTGGTTCATAGAAACATAGAATTGCAGTGTTGGAGGAGGCACTGAGGACCATCTATTCCTGCAATGCAGTTGTTCCATACGGGCATCAAATCTGCAACCTTGGCATTATTAGCACCACACTCTAACCAATTGAGCTACATATAGCTGTGGATGTGATCAGGGTTTTCAACAAGTTTTGATAGATGCTATTGAGATTGCAAAGGAGCTAGAAACACTGCCAAACTTTGAGACAGAACATGTTAGAAAAAGGAGAAAGAAACATCAGTTCGAGGCCCAAGAAGAGGCACCACAACATCCAAAGCAGAAATTCAAAGCAGATTTCTAATAGGGTGTCTTAGACATGGCCTTACAATTCGTTGAAGGGTGATGCCAACAGCTACAACAATGTAATTACCTCATTGGATTCCTGTAGTGTATCAACAAAAAAATCTATTCAAGATGTACTTAAGGACTGCAAGAATTTGTAAAAATCATTGATGCACAAAGAAAGATATTGATGCTGAAGATCTGTGAACTTATAGTAATAGCTTGAAGACTTCCAAAGTCCATTAGGAGTACTTCTCTTCATACTACAACAAAAATGCCTGGATAATGTGCCTAATGTTTCTGTTGCTCTAAGGATCCTTCTCACACTTTCAATGTCAGTGGCAAGTGGTGAACACAATTTCTCAAAGCTCAAACTTATAAAAACTTACATATGCTCAATAATGTTGCAGAGGAAACTAGATGGCTTGGCATGTTCAGTTGAACATGCCCAAGTATCAGCATTTGACCCAAAGAAATTGGTGGCAAAATTTGCAAAGGAAAAGGCAAGCAAAGTGAGATTTGTATGTGCCTGATATTGAAATTTTTATGAGACTTAAATTTTCATCATCACAATTCACAAGATTATTCCAAAAGATCTCTGTGTTAAAACATTTTCTTTTGTATTTGAGAAAGTTAATCAAAGGCTGATGTATTACTTATTCTTGCGATTTAAAATAAATTCAGCAGTTTCAAGTTTTGGTCATTTCATTTTTTTCTATAAGACATCTGTATTGAAAACTGAAGTTAGCGAAAAGACAATTTGAGGGTGCAAGTAGTTAGCCTTGCCTAGAGTGCTAAACTGCCTGGCACCAGCACTCTTCCTGAACATATCTACCCATGCAATAAGATGTCTCACAGTGGAAAATTCACATACATTCATCTCAAACTGGCCAATAGCCACTTTTCACAACTAGTGACACTTCCTTCTTGCGTGGTATGCACTTATACAGACAGGAAGGCTAGCTGGCTAATGAAATGGTTTGATGGCTGATCTTTTTTTTGTGTGTCACTGGCCTTGGACATGACAATTTTTTTAACACAGAAACTATAGTAATATTTAGCATAAACTTGGCACAGACCCACCATGCAAGAAAGTAGCATTTTTTTTAAATAGCTGTTTTCAGAGGAAGAATAAAGTTCTTTGCCTTTCATTGTATTCTATCAGTTTAAATTAATCTTGTGGGTTTTCTTTTTCAACGGCGAGGAAGAGAGATTGAAGCCTGAGAGAATGGAGATAGAATAATATTGTACTTTGCACAATGTACCATGCATTCTGGATACTAAAAAATCCTCAATGAATAAAGATGTTTCATCAGAGAAAAGACCTTATTTAAAGCAGCTTCTCACATCTTGCTAACAATGCTTTCAGCGGTGCTGTGGACCAGTTACATTTGCCATACCCCAAACCTGGCATATCAGAATTTGACCTAGGCAGTCTTTTTAAGCAACAGTTGAAAGCTTAAAAATGGTTCTGACATACCCTCCAGCATTCCATAGATGAGCATGGGGACTTTTTATTTGGTTGTTACACCCCATTCTCAAAGTACGAATCACTCCCTGAGGCCCTTGCACACAATTACATTGTGCTGTAGGCTTTTTCATGCCTGCTATATTGCGTGACCAGGCGGCGACAGCCCCAGCCCCCAGGGATCATAAGGAAGGAATAAAGACTCTGACAACATTATAGGGAATGAAAATTAGGCCACAACTTTATTAAACTTCCGAATGTAGGAAGACCTTGGCTTAGGCCTTGGGCATGTATCCCTCCCAGCCCCCAGCTGGGGGGAACTGGGGCTCATCAGGGTAAATGGGATATCTCAAAAACTAAACCTTTTTGTGGTATGATTATGATTGCTGTCCTAGATATACATACTTGGGGAGTAAACTTCATGGAACGTAGCTGTGTTTAACTTACGAATGGAAAGGTTCAGCTTGTAAAACATATGTCTACTCCCAACACCCATAGTGTACAGATAGTGGTGATTTTTGAAACACTGGGGGAAGGCATGATGGAGACACCCAACGCATTATGCATCCACATATCATGTCAACATGGGGCCAGGAATGAGGGCTTCTTCCCTTGCCCTAGGCTGCAGTGCAAGTTTTCTGGTCAATTCATGGCCAGGTAGGATTTTTTTCAGCTCATCTGCTCATTTGGCCTGCCCAATGGATTTTGTTTTGTTTTTGCTTACCCCTCACTGCTTCAGTTGGGCTGCTGACTCCATTTGGGGCATTATTAGCCATGGCTTGTTGTTTATTAATTTGGCCACATCCAGCAGGTTGTGCAAGGAAAGGGGGAAAGAAATAGAGATTTGACTGGCGCTCTGAAGTACCTTTACATTCCAGGGACTTTCCTTTCAGGACTTTTAAAAATTAAAATTAAATTATCCATTTATGAATCTCAGTATTTTTTAGCTTCTTGGACTTCCCAAGTAATGCTTGGTACCATCTGCTAGCAATAGATAAACAGGTAACTCTTGCATTGGAGTTAATTAAGATTCTAAAAACCACATTGGGGAAATGCCTTTATTGCACCCACCAATATGTCGCAAAATAGTGTGCAGCCTTTACCATCTAGCCTGATGAAGAGTTATGGAGAACTTGAAAGTCCATTTTGTGATATTTTGATTGGTTCAATAAAACGCCTTACATGGATTTTGGATTTTTCTTCTTCTTGTGGCCCTTTGCTTTTTGTGTGATTTGGAGAGCATTTAATTAAAAATTAGAAAGAGAAAGTGTTTCCTTTTCTAGAGCAGCTCAAGGGATAGCAAATAAAGCCATTGTAACATGTTGAAGCATTCAGTAATCAGTTCCAGAAGCCGAAGAAAAGTTGGATATTAATCCTGAGTAATAATGCAGCACTCTTAGTAATTTATGCAGCTTTTTAATCTCAGAAAGATTCTATGTGCTCTGCAAGAGACCTGCTTCTTTCCATAGGCACATCTGGTGGTTTCCAATGAATATTCTAGTTTAAGATCACAATATTTAAAAGCATAGTATACCCTCTGATACATATTACATGTTCCATCTGGTGCAATGTTCCATAATGTTTGGCTCCTAGGAAATGTCCGGTAACAATAACAGGGATTGGCATTCAAAGCCCTACATTTCCCAAAATATGAATGTCTGTGTTATTAAATCATTTAAGATCAGGGGTTAGATGCCATTTCAAGGTGGCTTCACTTTCCCTCCCTACTAGAATGTATATTTCACCCCTGTGCAAAAACTATGGGTTCCACTGAATGGTGTGTGGGTGTTCACACAAAGTTCTGCTCACAAAGTGGGACTTCCTCTCCTCTTCCTGTAAAAGGTAAAGGTAAAGGGACCCCCAACGGTTAGGTCCAGTCACGAACGACTCTGGGGTTGCAGTGCTCATCTTGCTTTACTGGCCAAGGGAGCCAGCGTTTGTCTGCAGTTTTTCCGGGTCATGTGGCCAGCAGGACTAAGTCGCTTCTGGCTAAACCAGAACAGCGCACGGAAATGCAGTTTACCTTCCTGCCAGAGTGGTACCTATTTATCTACTTGCACTTTGTTGTGCTTTTGAACTGCTAGGTTGGCAGGAGCTGGGACTGAGCAACGGGGGCTCACCCCGTCACGGGGATTTGAACCGCTGACCTTCCGATTGGCAAGCCCTAGGCTCAGTGATTTAGACCACAGCGCCACCGGCATCTCCCTGTACTCACTCAAAAATCAGCTCCCGAGGATTATCCAACACTATGGATCAATTTTGAGGAGGTGGGGTAAGGGTGCGCTGTGAGAGAGGAGGAAGTTTTGTGTCCCAGGTGGATGTCTGCTGTGCTAGTGGAACAGCAGCACTGATTACAGCCCTGCAATTGCCATGATCACTTGTAATTACAAATTGCAGATTTCTCTCCCATTTTTCTTCTTCTATATATCCCAAGAAGACCTGCTGCTGTTAATAATTTCAGGAAAACACCACGTATTGTTCACGTACGTTGCTTTAAATGATGTCAATATATTTTTCTCACTGCAAACCAGAATCCAGTGATTTCCTCACATAAAGCTGGAATATTATCAAAGTATCCTTAATAGCAACATTTATTGGGATTCACTATAAAATACGTTATCTGCACGTGTGATAAATGGGCTGAAAAACTCTGAGCTATGCTTGTCCATGAGATTATTTGGTTTTGATATAGACCCCAGATTCTACTTCATCTTTCACTTACCCCAAAACCTAAAATCACCCAGAATTCAATTTGGATGAAACCCGACTTGAAATGCTAATGATGGACTGTTATTCATCTTTGAATGAGGTATTCTCCAGGTAATGCTCTCAAGGGCAGATTAAACTGGGCAAGAATGTGGAAAGAGAAGATCTCAGAAACCCAAACCCCAAGCAGGTAAACTGCTTCAGGTTTCTATTTGCAGGTAGGGCAGATTCCGTGCTTGGTACTAGCTGTAAACCAGACTAAATTGGAGCTTTACCCTCACTATAGAGCTATGCTTTTCTTTCTCTCAGAAAAGACAAAATATTTTACAGGCCCTTTGACCACATTCCAGGAGTGTGGTTAGTCATCTGAGCAGCAGGAGAATTTATATCAAATTCAGGAAATAGGCCTGAAAGAAAATGGTTTGACCAATTTTGACAAGCAATTCCTCTCAGATACACCATTGCTTGTCTATTTCCCTGATCATAACTGCTGGGCCCTCCAACAGACATTCCTTTCCCTTAACCATGAGTAATAGAGAAATAAGCCCTCACACTTGTACATAAAGTTCTTGATATGATTAGATTTCCTACATATTCAACTCCCTTCATAAACTTTAATAGTTCTTTAAAAATCAGGCCTCTGTTACATTTGGTACTAGAACGAA